CACTACACACTATTGAAAAATATTACTGCAAAAAACTAAGAAAATATCAATCAGAGACATTGAAATAATTGGGTAATAATATCTTTGTGGCACACCTGACAGCTCGGGCGGAGCAGACAGCCTCAGACGCTTGTTCTGTTAACACCTTTTTCTGGGAGAAGCCCCGTCGGCTCCCCGGAGCTATCCAGGCTGAATGGATATGTATAACTTTCTGGCATCAGTCAAAGTGCTAGGAGTTCTTGCCTACCGGGGACCACGAGCCAGAACCTGGCCCCCTCAGAGAGGCATGAGGAGCAATAGCCTATAGAAACCCCCTTGTGGTTGGGAGCATTCTATGTCTGCCATTGACCGGGACAGACACCCAGAAAGGTAGGTGCCCTAAAAAAAAAAAAAACCTATTCTGGTGAAAATATTGCTACCGAAAGCCGAACGAGTGGACAGAACTCCCCAAACAAAATTATCAAACTAGCATGACGTCATCACGTCGCCGCGCCACTGTCTGCGCAACCCCCCCCCCCCCCTCCCCAAGAGGGGGAAGGGGGAGCCTCAGACCCTCCACGCCGGCGATCCAACTGGCAGTTCTTGGCTGATGGGATTACTGGCTGGTCGAGTGCCTCTGGCTCCGGTTCTTGTTTCAGTTCTGTGCCTTGTGGTGTGGACTGTCTCTACCGGTGGGGTGTGAGCCAGGAGTAAGATTCCAAGGTACTCGGGCTGCATGTGCCTAGGGCTATCTTCCCTAGGTGCCCTGTAAGTACTGCCCTTGGGGCTTGGGGCCGCCTTCCACAAGTCGCCTTGGGTTCTACCTCAGCTGTGTCCTTTACTGCTCGGTACTGGACTGCCCTTGGAGTCGGCTGAGGGTTTGTTGCCCTGGTTTGTCTCTGGGTAGGTGGTAGTTTTCGTCACTGGTAGGGGCGCGGGGTACTGCACAGCTAGTTTTCACCATAACAGCGGCCGGCTCTGTTCCGCCTGGGTACGTTGTCCTCTTGGGGGTTTTTCTTTTGTTTTTGCCTGGTGGGAGGTCTCCCTTTGTGGTCCCCATTCCTGTTCTGGGGGATATTTTGCGGGCAATGGTGCGGGTTGGGCGCACTGAGAGTCGGTACGGTGTCTTGCATGTGTCTGTTTTAGACCACACTTGCAGGTTGCCTCGTTATTATTCGCTACTCTGCTGGTTATATGCTTGGGTGACGCCTCGCCGTTCTCCAAAGGTTGGCAGGAATTTTTCCTGGAAGTACGGGACGGTTTGAGTTCCATCATTGGTACTACGTACAGCTTTGCTTCTCTCGTTCGGCTCGTGCGTTTGGAGCGAGTATCTTATTGGGATTCTCTACTCACTCCGCCACCCTTGTTCATTGCTCCATCCTTGTTTACTCCTCCCCGCTTGGCGGGATTGCGTTGATGGCTCCTTATAGGGGTGTTTGGTGTTACCTGGTTGATACCTGGTTGATGGGGTTCTGGGAGTTCTTCTACTCTCCAAGCACGGCCCGAGGCCAGGCTTGACTTGTGAGAGTTTGGTCCACTAGGCTGTTGCTTGGAGCGGCCCGCAGGCCCACATACCCACCAAAGCCCGGTTGGTCCGGCACTCCTTGGAGGAATTAATCTAGTTTCCTCTTGAAGATGTCCACGGTTGTTCCGGCAATATTTCTTATGCTTGCTGGGAGGGTGTTGAACAACCGCGGACCTCTGATGTTTATACAGTGTCCTCTGATTGTGCCTATGGCACCTCTGCTCTTCACTGGTTCTATTCTGCATTTTCTTCCATATCGTTCACTCCAGTACGTTGTTATTTTACTGTGTAGATTTGGTACTTGGCCCTCCAGTATTTTCCAGGTGTATATTATTTGATATCTCTCTCATCTTCTCTCTAGTGAGTACATTTGGAGGGCTTTGAGACGATCCCAATAATTTAGGTGCTTTATTGCGTCTATGCGTGTCGTATATGTTCTCTGTATTCCCTCTATTTCAGCAATCTCTCCTGCTCTGAAGTGGGAAGTGAGTACTGAGCAGTACTCATTCGGGACAACACAAGTGACTTAAAGAGTACAACCATTGTGATGGAATCCCTGGATTTGAAAGTTCTCGTAATCCATCCTATCATTTTTCTGGCTGTCGCAATATTTGCTTGGTTATGTTACTTAAACGTTAGGTCGTCAGTGGTGTGGTGTGTTTGGTCACCTTGTGTGTGTCTTCAGTGCCATTTTTGTCCCTGTCTTTTGTTCTTTGTTTTCCTGTGGGGCTCTGCCCTGCATTTCGGTGCGTTTGGTTTCGTTGTCAACCCCTGGGTCTTTTCCCTATCTGGACACTCATTCCTTGCCTATCTTCGGTGCCTGACTACACGCACCCTGCTGTCCATGAGGTCCCTCGGGTATATACTCGCTCCTCTACACATTTTGTGGTTGGTCGTGTGCATTACTTCCCGGCCTCTTTTTGAGCCGTATTCGTGGTTTTCCTTACCTATTTTCGTTTTTCCTCCCCCCATGCTACACTTATTTGTGTATATGGGTCAATGCTTCTAGACTATCCTGTTTGGTGCTCTGGTGGGCCTCTGTCCATGTTCAGTTCCCTGCTTTGGACTACTCCGGTGTTTCGTTTTGGTACCGAGTTCCTGCGATTTTCTGTGTGATTTCCTGCAGGCTTCGGGTTATGCTGTTTGTGGGGGTGTGGACTTACGGTCTGCCGCTCCTGCCTTCCTGGTTCCTTTTCTTGGAACTGGGTTTGCTGGGTTCCGGTCCTGGTTCCGGTTTTTCTTTGTTCCTTTTTCGGACCGGGTGTGTTTGCTTTCCTGCGGTTTACGTCCTGGGTAGTTCTCCTCTTGGATGCCTCAGGGATGCATGTGTCATTCTTCCCTGCTGGAGCTGGTTATGTTGCTCCTTTGGGTTGCGGGGTCGCTGTTTTTCGATTCGCGTTTTGCGCTTTCGATCGTGGTGTTAGTTTCTCGTCGTTTGTGTCGGCACTGGTGAGTTCGTTATTGGTCTCCCACCTGCGTGTTTTGTCTCGGGGCGGTGTGTGGTTTTCCTGGCAGTCTTTCCGGTTTTCCTCTCATTGCGAAGGGTCCTTCGGTCTTTGATAGGGTTGGTTTGTCTTCCCTTCGGGGTTGTTCCGGGACCGTCGTCTGGGATCGTGTCCTGTCACCTCATATTGGGTGGTGCTGGCAGAGCCGCTCCTGCTTGCGTTCAGTATTGCGGTTCCTTCTGCTCCATTCCACTTGCTGTCCTGGGCTTTGTTCCCCTCTGGCCTGCTCTTGAGTTTTGGTGCCGTCCTGGTCGTTGGCCTGGGTGGTCTCTTTTCTTCTCGTTTTGGTTTTTGTTTTGTCTCTGGTTTTGGTTGTTCGGTTAGGACGCGTGGTATCCGCCTCCCGGTTCCTTCCCTGTTTTACTTATCTGTGGTGAGGTAGCTCCGGGGAGTCGACGGGGCTCCCCCCAGAAAACCAGCGTTGAATGTAATGAAACACCATTTTCTGGGTGAGTCCCGGAGGCTCCTTGGCATCCCTCCCTCCCTCCCGGTCGGTGGCGTTTTTTGCGTATTTTGACATCCAGCCTAAGAACTGCCAGTTGGATCGCCGGTGTGGAGGGTCTGGGGCTTCCCCTTCCCCCTCTTGGGGAGGGGGAGTTGCGCAGATGGTGGCGCGGCGACGTGATGACGTCATGCTAGTTTGATAATTTTGTTTGGGGAGTTCTGTCCACTCGTTCAGCTTTTGGTAGCAATATTTTTACTAGAATAGGGGTTTGTTTTGGGGCGCCTACCTTTCTGGGTGCTTGTCCCGGTCGATGGCAGACATAGAATGCTCCCAACCACAAGGGGGTTTCTATAGGCCATTGCTCCTCATGCCTCTCTGAGGGGGCCAGGTTCTGGCTTGTGATCCTGGGTAGGCAAGAACTCCTAGCACTTTGATGCCAGAAAGTTATAGATATCCATTCAGCCTGGATAGCTCCGGGGAGCCTCCGTGACTCGCCCAGAAAATGGCGAACTCACATTCAACACTGTTTTTTTTTTTGCCAGACTTCCCCACCCTATTGCAACCAAAATATGTCACCTACGATTTTTTTATTCTTTTTCCCGTGATCAGGGAACACAAATGAACTCTTTTATAGGATGAAATTTTTTTTTTTGATTTTTTGGTTGTTGCTCCTGGCGTGTTGCAGGCCAAAAAGCCCTTAGCGGGTTAAGAGTTAAATAATGTATGACACATATCAGGTGTGGGTTATGTACATTGGGTAAGGAGGTAAGTGAGATGATGTGAGCTTCCCTCATAACATCCGATGTATTGTTAGCAATTTTTTGAAAGTTTGTGATAATTGATAATTTGGCTAGTTTTCAATATTTTATTATTAGCAATGATTTTTGTGCCTAGCTAACTTATCCAGTATGCTCGTCAGGGTTCCTAGCCTATGGCACTCGGTCTTCCATCCGTAATAGGTTTGCATTAGACACAGGGCAATTTTTTTTATTCATTTGAAAATACTGTATTTGCCGGCGTACAAGAGACACAAAATTGATAAATTGATAGGGAAGACTTTCTGAGACCTGGAACTTCAAGAACAAGAGGTCATAGATTTAAACTAACTAAACAAAGATCCCAAAGAAATATAAGAAAATTCACTTTTGCAAACAGAGTGGTAGATGTTTGGAACAAATTAGGTGAGAAGGTGGTGGAGGTCAACACAGTCAGTAGTTTCAAAGCACTATGTGACAGAGTGCTGGGAAGGCGGGACACCACGAGCATAGCTCTCATCCTATAACTACACTTAGGTAATTACACACATACACTCGCTCACTCACATTCATTCTCTCATTCATTCTCTCGCTTACTCTCTCTCTTTTCCTCGTTCTCCCCATCCCCTTCCTAAATTTTCCTCTCCCTTGTCCCTGTCCCAACTTGCCTCCTTCTGTTTCGTCCCCTTTCTCCTTATTTTTGTTGTTGTTGTTGTTGAGAGTGAAGGAATAAAATTTTGGAGGCAAAGATAATGTTGTATTAAAATTCATATCAAATGCAATGTTTACAGGGTCAAACTTGGTGCAAAGAGCAATACGAGCCATGGCGTCTGATGATGCAGATGAAGTTGTGTTGGAAACAGAGATTACCAATAAACCGGCACTTAGGTTATATGAAAACTTAGGATTTGTCCGAGACAAACGCCTCTTCCGGTAAGTTTGCCAGTGCCTTCTCTCAGACGCTTCAGGTAGTAGGTAAGAGCATCATTAGGGAACCTATTGTGGCTCCCTAAACCTATCTTCCCAAAATTGCTTCATTGTAAAAGGTCACATCAGTTAGAGAATGTTCTGCTTGGCCTACTGTTGACCAGAACCAGTATCAGTCCGCTCATAAGAGGCACAGAGTGACACTGCTACCTCATCAGTAGAAACCTCCTTAAAGTTGACACAGCTTTACAGACAACTGGAGACTTTACAGACTATGATGCCTCGAAACTCCAAACAACTATGCAAACATGTCTCACAGAACAAGGGCTTCACTCAAATGATCTAAAAATTGGTTAGTACCAATTACTACTACCAGGTGGCTTGGCCCTGGCTTCCAGTCCACTCCCCAAGTCAGTTCTGTTCCTGGTGCCAGTGTCTTCACACGAGCTTGTAGTGCTTCCGGTCACACCAACTTGCAGGCAAGCCTCAAAGCTTCTAGCTTAGTGCCAGCTATCCTTGAACTTGGATGTCTTGTGGGGACCATTTGCTTTGTTTATTGTTTTCTGTTTTAGTGTAGGCTTCATGTAAGCATTTTGAGTCTGGCTTGTTGAGTGACTTGTTGCTTAGCTTGTTGGGTACAGGGGCCCGGGTACAGGCCCAGAAAGGGCCCAGGTACAGGCCCAGAAGGGGCCCGGGTACAGGCCCAGAAGAGGCCCGGGTACAGGTCCAGAAAGGGCCCGGGTACAGGCCCAGAAGGGGCCCGGGTACAGGCCCAGAAGGGGCCCGGGTACAGGCCCAGAAGGGGCCCGGGTACAGGCCCAGAAAGGGCCCGGGTACAGGCCCAGAAATGGCCCGGGTACAGGCCCAGAAAGGGCCCGGGTACAGGCCCAGAAAGGGCCCGGGTGCAGGCCCAGAAGGGGCCCGGGTACAGGCCCAGAAAGGGCCCGGGAACAGGCCCAGAAGGGGCCCGGGTACAGGCCCAGAAAGGGCCCAAGTACAGGCCCAGAAGGGTCCCGGGTACAGGCCCAGAAAGGGCCCGGGTTCAGGCCCAGAAGGGGCCCGGGTTCAGGCCCAGAAGGGGCCCGGGTACAGGCCCAGAAGGGGCCCGGGTACAGGCCCAGAAGGGGCCCGGGTACAGGCCCAGAAGGGGCCCGGGTACAGGCCCAGAAAGGGCCCGGGTACAGGCCCAGAAAGGGCCCGGGTACAGGCCCAGAAAGGGCCCGGGTACAGGCCCAGAAGGGGCCCGGGTACAGGCCCAGAAGGGGCCCGGGTACAGGCCCAGAAGGGGCCCGGGTACAGGCCCAGAAGGGGCCCGGGTACAGGCCCAGAAGGGGCCCGGGTACAGGCCCAGAAGGGGCCCGGGTACAGGCCCAGAAGGGGCCCGGGTACAGGCCCAGAAGGGGCCCGGGTACAGGCCCAGAAAGGGCCCGGGTACAGGCCCAGAAGGGGCCCGGGTACAGGCCCAGAAAGGGCCCGGGTACAGGCCCAGAAAGGGCCCGGGTACAGGCCCAGAAAGGGCCCTACCTTGAGGCTACCTTGAGGTGCTTCCGGGGCTTAGTGTCCCCGCGGCCCGGTCGTCGACCAGGCCTCCTGGTTGCTGGACTGATCAACCAGGCTGTTAGACGCGGCTGCTCGCAGCCTGACGTATGAGTCACAGCCTGGTTGATCAGGTATCCTTTGGAGGTGCTTATCCAGTTCTCTCTTGAACACTGTGAGGGGTTTGCCAGTTATGCCCCTTATGTGTAGTGGAAGCGTGTTGAACAGTCTCGGGCCTCTGATGTTGATAGAGTTCTCTCTCAGAGTACCTGTTGCACCTCTGCCTTTCAACGGGGGTATTCTGCACATCCTGCCATGTCTTCTGGTCTCATGTGGTGTTATTTCTGTGTGCAGGTTTGGGACCAGCCCCTCAATTATTTTCCACGTGTAAATTATTATGTATCTCTCCCGCCTGCGCTCAAGGGAGTACAGATTGGAGAAAGGAGAAAGAAAGCTTGGAGAAAGCCCGGGTACAGGCCCAGAAAGGGCCCGGGTACAGGAGTGACTTGTTGCTTAGCTTGTTGGGGATTTCAGTCAGCGCTCACTCCGGATTCTCCTCCCTGTGTGCCCACTAATGCTGCCTTTTAACACCCAGAGCTTTCCTTCTCTGGCTTGTTCAGAAGTTCGTCCCTGTGAGGCCTGTCCACCAGGGTGGGGGCCTTTCCTTTGGCTATTCAAGAATCTTGAGCTCCTATGTTTAGACCCTTGGCTGGGGCATTCTTTTGTTGTATTGGGGGGTACACTGGGACTTGAGCAGACTTGTTTACCTGCTTGATACCTGCTTGATGGGGTTCTGGGAGTTCTTCTACTCCCCAAGCCTGGCCTCGGGCCAGGCTTGACTTGTGAGAGTTTAGTCCACTAGGCTGTTGCTTGGAACGGCCCGCAGGCCCACATACCCACCACAGCCCGGTTGGTCCGGCACTCCTTGGAGAAAGCTATCAAATTTTCTCTTGAAGATGTCCACGGTTGTTCCGGCAATATTTCTTAGTCGCTGAGAGGATGTTGAACAACCGTGGACCTCTGATGTTTATACTGTGTTCTCTGATTGTGCCTATGGCACCCCTGCTCTTCAATGGTTCTATTCTGCATTTTCTTCCATATCGTTCACTCCAGTATGTTGTTATTTTACTGTGTAGATTTGGGATCTGGCCCTCCAGTATTTTCCATGTGTATAATATTTGATCTCTCTCTTGTCGTCTTTCTAGCGAGTACATTTGGAGGGCTTTGAGATGATCCCAATAATTTAGGTGCTTTATCGTGTCTATGTATGCCGTATATGTTCTCTGTACTCTCTATTTCTGCAATCTCTCCTGCTCTGAAGGGGAAAGTGAGTACTGAGCAGTACTCAAGACGGGACAGCATGAGGGATTTGAAGAGTACAATCATTGTGATGGGATCCCTGAATTTGAAAGTTTTCGTAATTCATTCTATAATTTTTCTGGCTGACATAATATTTGCTTGGTTATGCTCCCTAAATGTTAGATCATCAGACATCATTATTCCCAAATCCTTTACATGTTGCTTTCCCGCTATGGACAAATTTGATTGTTTTGTACCTTGCACTATGTTTAAGGTTCTCATTTTTACTGTATCCGAGTATCTGGAATTTATCGCTGTTAAACATCATATTATTTTCTGCTGCCCAGTCGAAAACTTTATTAATATTTGCTTGTAGTTTTTCAGTGTCTTCAGCAGAGATAATTTTCATGCTGATTTACCTTGTTTACACGGCACTCCACGGTCACCTCCTGTAGCTTGGTGTTTAGGTTACTGTTCGTGTCTGTTCCTCCGGTGAGTGGCCACTGTGCCTGGTATGCATGCTTAGTTATATTCCTTTGGGCCCATGGGAATTCCCTTTGGGGGGTCTGTTGTGGTCTTTATCGAGTAACCCATTGAGCCCAACCTTGCTGCTTACAAGTTTGAGGAGTATTCATTTTTTTGTCACTTGACAATGATCATTCTTTCTGCCCCAACCATGCTACCTGTTGGGTTGGTGATTTTTACAATATGGAGTCCTGTGAGGTATATTCTCACTGCATCTCTGCTTTAATGAATTCTGCTTTCCAGGCAGCTGCTGCTTTACGGGCTCGGTTTGCCTGTTGTTTGGTTTCCAGCATATCGATCAACTGGTTTCCCCAGAGTTGGTCCCTGTAGGAACTCAGAATTGGAGGTGTTGGTGAACTACACTTGGGCTCTGGCTCTGTGCTTCCTCTTTCTTCTCCTGCAGGTGTGAGGAATCTTGCTTCAGTTCTTACTGCCCCCTGGTTCCAGCTCCAAAGCATCTAAGGGTTTTGGAGTTGTGTTGTGGTTCATTCGGGGTGCCACTCGGCTTTCTCCTGGGGTGGTCCTTTCCACATTGATGGAGGAGTTAGTTAATTGAGCCTTTCGGTTTCACCAGGGGCTTCGGGACATTCACCTCCACTACTGCCTCCTTGCCCTGAGCCTTCTTTATTGGAGAATGCCTTCTTTTTGGCAGGATGTGCAAAATAGTGCCACTGAAAAGAAGAGTTTGACTAGGCATGTTGAGAGAGAACTTGAGAACATCAAAGGTCCAAGACTTCAACACTTTCCCACACGTTCGGGGTATAACTGGCAGACCGCTTGCAATGTTAAAAAAAAAAAAAAAGAGAACTTGACAAGCACATTCAAAAGATACCTGATCAACCAGGCTCCGACTCGTATGTCAGGCTGCGAGCAGCTACATCAATCACCTGGGATGATCAAACCAGCAACCAGGAGGCCTTGTCAGAGGCCTCCTGCAGGAATGTTACTCCTCAAAATCATCAACAGGTAGTCAGGTGTTGGGCGAGGACTTGCCCTCTGCCTTCGGGGCCCCAGTGGCAGGCTTCTGGGGCCAAGGGAAAGCCCAAAGAGTGCCCTTGGGTTTTTTGTCCCTTCATGGTTTTCAGTTCCCCCTGTGAGGGTCGTATGTTGCAGGGGGATCATTTTTCTTATCCCTTGTACATGTATAAATTTGATCACTCGGCTACTTTCCCTCGGGTTCATTTTCGGGGTCCTGTTTGTTGACTTCTGTCCTGTTGATTTTCAGGTCCTGTTTGTGATTTCTCGTCTTTACAGAGGTTCTGTACTCCCACATTGCCCTTCCTATGGTTCATACGAATTTGTTTTGGTACCTCCTTGGCTGGCTTTCTGCCCCATAGCTCCATTCAGATATTGCTAGTTGATTGGTTGCTGGGGTGGTCAGAGTGACACCCATACAGTGAGTATGTGTGTTGTTCCTGGTTCCCAGGCAGGGCTCTGCAGCTCTTGTAGTCCATTCATGGCATCTCAGGTTTGCATCCCTTTGATCTTTGTGTGACTTTCTGGGGGGGGAGCCCCTTTGGCTCCCCGGAGCTTACTAGGCTGATGTGCTAATGTCAGACTTTGACATCAGTCATGTGTATGGCGTTCTTATGGGCCTACCAGGGACCATGAGCCAGAACCTGGCCCCTTCAGAAGAGGCAAGGGGA